GATGAAGAAATGCTCACGATCATTAGCCATTGTTGTTGTTGTTATGTGCCATGGAGTCGGTTCCGACTCATAGTGACCCTGTACAGGGTTTCTAAGGCTGTAAATCTTTATGGGAGCACAAAGTCTCATCTTTCTTCTGCAGAGCAACTGGTAGTTTCAAACTGCTGACCTTGTCTTTAGCAGCCTAGTTTATAGTCCATTACACTACCAGAGTTTCTTAAAAATACATTACGGTGGTGGTAGTGATTATGTGCCATGGAGTTGGTTCCAACCATAGCAACAATGTATAGTGTTTCTGGGAGTCTTGGTGTGGTGTTGCAGGTTAAAGTGCGGGACTGCAAAATTGGTTTGAACTGCAAGGTTGGTGGTTCAAGATCATCAGTCACTCATCAAAAGCCCTATACAGGGTCACTATGGGTCAGAACCAAATGATGGCACTTAACAGCAACAACAACATAAGGTTTCTGAGGTTGTAAATCCAGCTTCTTGCATTAGTTGCTCAGCATACAGATCAAATAAGTATGGTGAAAGATACAACCCTGACACATACCTTTCCTGATTTTAAACCGTTAAGTATCCCCCTTTTTCTGTTTGAATGACTGCCTCTTGGTCTATGTACAGTTCCCTCATGAGCACAATGAAATAGCCTGGTATTCCATTCTTCACAATGTTGTCAATAGTTTGTTATAATTCACATGTTCAAATGCCTTTGCCTAGTCAATAAAACACAAGTAAACATCTTTCTGGTATTCTCTGCTTTCAGCCAAGAGCCATCTGACATCAGCAATGATATCCCTAGTTCTACATCCTGGCACCTGACAACAACAATAACATCCTCCTCTGAATCTGGCTTGAAATTCTGGCCGTTTCCTCTCAATGTACTGCTGGAGTTGTTTTTTAGTTATCTTCAGTAATATTTTATTTGCATGTGATTTTAATGATATTGTTTGATGATTTCTGCATTCTGTTGGGTCACCATTCATTGGAATGGTTCTCTTCTAATCAGTTGGCCAGGCAGCTGTCACCCAAATTTCCAGGCATAGATGAGTGAAGGCCTGCATCAGTTTGTTGAAACATTTTGATTGGTATTCCATCAATTCCTAAAGTCTTGTTATTCTCCAATGCCTTCAATTCAGCTTGGACTTTTCCCCTTAATACCATAGGTTTTTGATCATATGCTACCTTTTGAAATGGCTGAACATTGACCAATTATTTTTGGTACAGTGATTGTTTTCTTTCCATTTCTTTCGATGTCTCCTGTGTCATTCAATATTTTGTCCATAGACTTCTCCGATAGCAACCCTAGACTTGGAGTTTTCTTCAGTTCGTCCATCTTGAGAAATGCTGAGTTGTTGTTTTCTTGTGGTTTTCAAAACCCAGGTATTTGCAGCTTCATTATGATACTTTCCTTTGTCTTCTTAAGTTTCATTTGAAAATTTCTGTTCAGTTCTTTTACTTCCTCATTTATTTCTGTAGAATTAGCTTCTCTGCATTCAAGAGCAAGTTTCAGAACCTCTTCTGGCATCGATTTTGGTCTTTTATGACTTTTTACTTTCTGTATATATGATGTATTTGATGTTATCCCACAACTGATCTGACCTTTGGTCATGTGTCTAATGCATCAAATCTGTTCTTGAGATGGTCCCTAAATTCAGGTGTAATATACTCTGTCTTAATTTTGGCTCTCATGTACTTGCTTTAACTTTCTTCTGCTTCAGCTTGAACTTGCATATGAACAATTGATGGTCTGTTCCACAGTCTTCCCATGGCCTTGTTTTGGCCAATGATATTAGCTTCTCCAGAATCTTTTCCCACAGATGTGGGAATTTAAGTTAATTCTTCTGTGTTCCACATAGTGAGGTCCATGTGTATAAGTTACCTTTTATGTTGTTGAACAGGTATTTGCTATGACTATGTCATACCAATTACAAAATTCTATCATGTGACCTCCAGCACCATTATTATCACCAAGGCTGTATTTTTCAATTACTGATTCTTCCTCTTTGTTTCAAACTTTCTTATTAAGTAATTTCTCATCAGTAATTATCAATGCATCTTGATTGCATGTTTAATCAATTTCAGACTGAAGAAGTTGGTAGAATTCTTTGGTTTTGTCATCATTGGCTTTGGTGGTTGGTGTGTGAATTTGAATAATAGTGGTATTAACTGGTCTTCCTTGTATACATAGAAATTAACCCATTACAGATAGCATTATACTTCAAAACAGATATTGAAATGAACTTTCTGATGATGAATGAGATGCCATTCCTCTTTAATTTGTCATTCCCTCCATAGTAAGCCATATGAATTTTCCTAGATCCATACTTTAGACAATCCACGTTCCAGTTATTAATGAATGTTTTCAACTGTTTCTTCTCATTTTGAGCTTTGCCTCACCAGCAAATGAAGATACCAAGAATTTTGCCCCATCCACAACAGACTTTGAGAAGGTAGTTCTTCCCAGGCATATTGTAAATGCCTTCCAGGCTGAGGAGCTCATCTTCTGGCACTATATCAGGCAATGGCTACTATTCATCAGATTTTCAGTGGCTAAATTTTCAGAAGTGGTTTGCCTGTTTTTCTTCCTAGCCAGTCTTACTCATATTGTTGTATGTATCAGAGCTTCATTCCCCTTATCTGACAAATAGACTCCTAGCGTGGCACTGTAGGATTAGCACTAGACTGTGAACCACAAGGTCAGCAGTTCAAACCCACCAACTGCTTCTCAGAAACCTTATACAGGGTCTCTATGAGTCAGAACTGACTCGATGGCACTTAAAAAACAACAACAACAACACCATTTGACAAATAATATTCAATTGTGTGAATAGTACCTTGCCGTCCAGCACATTAACCCACAGCGCCACACCAGGACTCCTATATAAATATGTTGTTGTTGTTGTTAAGTGCCGTCGAGTCGGGTCCGACCCAGAGCGACCCTGTACATATAGTACATTTTATTATCTATTACCCATTGCTAGACATTGGGTTATTTCCTTTTTATTTTTGCCTATTTGAGTACTGCAAAAACAAGTCTTTGTTGAACATAAGTTTGAATTTTTCTAGAGTATATACTTCGGAACGAAACTGCTTTCTGAGTCACATGGTAAATCTGTGTTGAGTCTTTTAAGAAACCGCCAAGTTGTTTTCCAAAGTGACTAAACCATTTTATCATTCTCATCAGTAGTGTATTAGAGTTCCAATTTCTTCCAATCCTTACCAACACTTGTTATTGTCTCTTGTATTTTTTAAAAATTATAACTATTCTATGTGACTATGTGACATAAAGAAAACAAAAATCCTCACCACTGGACAAATTAACAACATTCGTATCAATGGAGAAAAGATTGAAGTTGTCAACGACTTCATTTTTCTTGGATCAACCATCAACACTCACGGAAGCAGCAGTCAAGAAATCAAATGACTTATTGCTTTATGCAAATCTCTGCACAAGACCTTTTTAAAGTGTTGAAGAGCAAAGATGTCCATTTCAGGACCCAGGTATGCCTGACCCAAGCCATGGTATTTTCAATAACCTCATATGCATGCAAAAGCAGGACAGTGAATAAGGAAGACTGTAGAAGAACTGATGCTTTTGAGTTATGGTGTTGGAGGATAATATTGAAAGTGCCATGGACTGCCAAAAGAACCAACAGATCTGTGTTAGAAGAAGTGCAGCCAGAGTGCTGCTTGGAGGCTAAGATAGCCAAACTTCATCTCTCATATTTTGGACATATTGTCAGGAGGGACCAGTCACTGGAGAGGGATATCATATTTGGTAAGGTGGAGGGACAGAGAAAAAGAGGACGACCCCCAGAAAGATGGATTGGCAAAGTGGCAGCATCAATGGGCTCAAGTGTGGCAACAATTGTGAAGTTAGCTCAGGGCTGGGCAGTGTTTCGTTCTGTTATGCATAGGGTCACTATGAGTTGGTACTAACTCAATGGCACCTAACAGCAACAACAACAACAAATGTGACTATGTTCTCAGTGGACAAGAGAACCCCCACAGGGCACAGGTTAAGAGTTTGGCTGCTGTTAGAAAGGCTGGAGGTCTCGGTCTTCTCAGATTGCCTCAGAAGAAGGCCCAGCAATCAATTTCTGAAAGGTCACAGCCATTGTAAAGCCTACGGAGCACAGTTCCTCTGTGTATGTGGGGTTGCCATGAATAGGCTCAGTGGCCACTAGTGTGGTCATGATTGGTTTAAAGTGGTATCTCATTGGGGTTTTAATTTAGATTTTCTTAGTGACTAATGATGATTGGCATCTTTTCATACACTTATCATATACTTATTAATCATTCATATATCTTCTTTGGTAACATTGACTCAAATATGTTAACCACTTGAAAATTGGTTCCATGCCTTACTGTGTTGTGAGAGGTCTTTATGTTGTGTATAGTCTGGAGATATTTTCAGATACATGACTTGTGTGTGAATGGTTCCTCCTAATTTTGGTTTGCTCTTTCATTCTCTTCCTGGAGCTCACTGAATGGAAAAAAGGGACACAACAGAGTGGTGCTTCAGAACGATGGTTTTTAGTAGCAGGACATGGGATACATAAAAAGGGACACATAGATGTATTTTAATATACTTCTAAATATTGTAAATGTAGATGACAGGCGTAGGCCAACTTCATAAAATTCTCCAGGAACCAAAGGGTTATAAGCAGCTATTTATTGAAACCTGTTTACAGTCTAGTTAATCAGTGAGCCAGGATCAGTCAAACTTGTCAATGTGGGGATACATGTTAAAGGTTTCCTGGATTAGAAGAAGAAAATGGGGGAGGAAAGATAACGTGGTTATTCCAAAAGCTACATAAATAATTTCCAGCTTTGAACAGGGCAGTTCTGAAGTTCCTTTACAGGCGCTGCCACTCTGATGCTCACTGGCAAAAACCTAGGGAAAACAAGTTCTTGGGCCCCTGAATTTTGCCTGGTGAAGAGTCCAGGCTGTTTGGAGACGGATGCCTTTCAGAGGCTCTTTGAGAAAGGCGAGCAAGATGTCAGGCCTGCTCTCAGTCGCCCTCCACCTCCTCCTCTTTCAGTTGGCTGCTCCGGTGACCTTTTACCACCACCACTATGACGACCTCATGCGGACGTTGTACAAGGTGCATAACGAATGCCCCTATATCACTCGGGTTTACAGCATCGGCCGCAGTGTGAAGGGGAGACACCTCTATGTCCTGGAATTCAGCGACTACCCTGGAATCCATGAGCCCTGTAAGTTCTGAGAGGTGGTCGGGGCACGTGGGACCCTCCTGACACATCCAGTAATTGGGCTTTCTGGGGTGGTCTGTGAAAACTTCCACCAGTAAAATATTATCTCTTTCTTAATCGGTACGAAGTATTCCCTGTTTAACCTTCAAACTGCCCTTGCCTCTGGAGATGTCCTAACCCCAATTCAGGTTCTCATCTGCCCCTGTTCCTTTTGAGTTGTTTGCCCACGACCTTAATGTTAAGAGACTCTTCCCTGCTCTCCTCTCATTCCCTCCCTTCCCTTCTACCTCTCTTCTTTTCCCCTTGCTATGGTCAGGAGATGGAAGTAGAAAGAAATGAGCTCTCTAGTTTGTCCAGGACATCCCTCCAGGGGTGATAGTATGAAAGAATGCCATCCTGGGAGGAGTTTGAGGGTTAGGGCATTATTTGTATCTATTGGATTCTTTTTTGTTGGTTTGTTTCTCTTACAAAAACAATCTATGTTTGGATTTAAAATTAGAAATGAGATAAAATTAAATAAAAAGAAACTCACTCATAATCCCATCACTCACAGATAACCACTAGTAATATTTAACATATATCTTCCAGATTTTTTCCTCTCCCCCTATACACATCCAACTTTTATAAAATGAAATCATATTATAGTAAGGATTTTCTCATTTCTAGGTGGTCTGTTATACAGAGCATCCATGTCTGTTAATGTTGATCTACATTTCCATTTCCTGGGCTACATGGCAGGGATCTAGTTAGCCATTCCTTTCTTTCTTTCTTTTTTATGTTTTATTGTGAATTATATGATAGTTTACGTGGGAGAACATTAGTTTTACATTCATTCTATCGTATATTGTTTCATTGCCATGGTTACAATCCCCTCCATGCAGCATCAACCAACCAAAGGGTATACCCTGCAAGCCTGCCCCCTACACTAACCCAACCCAGTCTTCAGCACACAGTTGCTCTCCCTCTCTGGATCTAAAGTCTCCAGCTGCTCCATCGCTCCACGTCGTTGTCTCTGCCTCTATCTCAGGCATCACTGTTTCTCTGGCTCTTCTCCATTGATGGTCCTAGGGACCTCCGCTCCTAGACTGGAAAGTTAATCACTCCCTTCCTTGCTATAAAACATCTACCTTTACATTTCCAACTTTCACCATCAGTCCTGATAACAATTATTCACTATTGTATCACCAGAGACACATCTGCATTTCATTTCATCTGCTCCGCCTAGACAGATTGAATACTACTCACTGGAGATTCTGCCTTCCTCCAGACCCCTTGGCTCTAGGTTCCCTCTTGAAAGCTTGTAAGCCAGTCACTTTTTGCCTTTGTAGCCCCACCCCCACCCCCCCACACACACACCATTTTGGGTAGCCAATATCTAAGTTGCCCATCCCTGTCTACTCTGTGTGTGGAGGGGGTGGGAATGATTCTTGCTGTAAGGATTTGTCCCCTCTTTTGAGCCACTGCATCCATAGGTGTAGGTCAAGTTCATCAAATTGTATTAGATTACTCCTTTTTTCCTCTTCTTTCTTCTTCTGGTTGAACTCTGAGCCATTTCTTTCTTGATGGATGTTTAAGTGGTTTCAAATTTCTCACTTCCTTTCTTGAAGTAATTGTGACATCCAAGTTATATCAGTTCCTCCTCAAGCTATCCATGCCACAAATCTCCCTCTACCTCTTCACATCCACACCCTACCTAACCAGACCCCGCCACGACCTGCCTGAGCAATCACACTGCCTTCCTGACTGGTCCCTGTGCCTTCACGTTCTGAACCTTTCAGATCGTTTAGCACAAGCTGTCAGTGTAATTGTGCTAAAGGCTGATGGAACCTTCTCACACTCTGCTTACACACTTGTGGTGACAGCCTCACACTCATGGCAACTTCAGAACACAACCCAGGAGAGGCTCAGGGAAGGCTGGTGGTGGTTGGAAGTGGGGACAAGGGCCTGGCTTTGAAACTAAACAAGCTGAGCAAGCACCTGCTTTCACTCAGATTGTACATTCATTGTGGAAGCTGTGGGTAGAAGATAACGAACAAGAAGGAGTTAGCCTTCCACCCTTAGCCCTCTTGTTGGTGTCCCCTCTACTTCCTAGCATTCAACTTCTTCCTTGAAGAGTTCTCACACTTCTCTAGTCCTAACTGACTCCTCTTTTCTTGAAGCTGTGTAACTAGTAGTTTGATCCCTTGTTCCTTTCATTCATTCAATCCACAAATACTCAGTAATCATCTGCTATATGCCAGCACTTTTGAAGACTAGATACACAGCGTAGAATAAAACAAAGTTCCTGCCCTTTTGGGTTTTAATTCCAGTGGGTAAGACAGATAATAAATGGGTAACTAAGTAAATTTCCCCGATTTGTCTGTTGGTTTGTTACACTGTGGTGGCTTGCATGTTGCTGTGATACTGTAAGCTATGCTCCTGGTGTTTCAAATACCAGCAAGGTTACCATGAAGAATAGGTTTCAGCGGAGCTACCAGACTAAGAACAGACTGGGAAGAAGGAATTGTTGTTGTGAAGTGCTGTCGAGTTGGTTCCGACCCATAGCCACCCTGTATAGGGTTTCCTAGGAGCAGCTGGTGAAGAAGGAATAGGAATGATGCAAGAGGAATGGTGTCACATTCATCATCAAAAAGAACATTTCAAGATCTATCTTGAAGTACAACGCTGCCTGTGATAGGATAATATCCATATACCTACAAGGAAGACCAAGAGCTCTGGTAGTGTAGTGGTTACAAATTGGGCTGATAACCTCAAGGTCAGCAGTTCGAAACTACCAACTGTTCCACGGAGGAAAGAGGAGGCTTTCTACTGCTGTAAAGACTTACAGCCTCAGAAACCTTGTACAGGGTCACTATGGGTCAGAACTGACTCCACAGCACACCACCACCACAAGGAAGACCAGTTAATAATAAATCATTCAAATGTACACACCAACCACTGAAGCCAATGATGAAGAAATGGAAGAATATTACCAACTTCTTCGGTTTGAAATCGATCAAACACGCAATCAAGATGCATTGATAATTATTAGTGGTTGGACTGCAAAAGTTGGAAACAAAGAAGGAAGTTTGGTATTTGGAAAACATGGCCTTGGTGATAGAAATGACACTGGAGAATGAGTGATAGAGTCTTGCAAAATCAATGACTTCTTCATTGCGAATGATCTTTTCCAACAGCATAAAAACCCAGTTGGAATACACAGGAATCAAATAGACTATATCTGTGGGAAGAGACTATGGAGAAGTTCAATATCTTCAGTCAAAATAAGGCCAGAGGCAGAATGTGCAACAGACCATTAATTCTTCATATACAAGTTCAGGTTGAAGCTGAAGAAATTTAAAACAAATCCATAAGAGCCAAAATTGGACCTTAAATATAGCTCACCAGAATTTAGAGACCATCTCAAGAACAGATTTGATCCATTGGACAGTACTGATCATAGACCACAGAAGTTGTGGCTACAGGAAGAAAAAACAGTTATTAAAACGAAAGGCAAGAATGAACAGAACAAAATGGATGTCAGAACGGCTCTGAAACTTTCTCTTGAATGTAGAGTAGCTAAAGGGAATGACATTTGCATTTCATACAGAAGTAGAAGAAAAAAAAAGTTTTAATAAATAAAAAGTGCTGTAGAGTGGGTTCCAACTCAGAGCAACCCTATATGTGGTTTCCAAGGAGGGGCTGGTGAGTTTGAACCACTGACCTTGCAGTTCAAACCAACTTTGAAGTCGAGTGCTTAGCCTATGGCACCACACTGGGACTCCAAATAAAAGTTTGGTGGGGACTAACTTGGGCTTTCTGATTTTTATTTTACTGAATAAGGATGTTGAAGAAAACGACCTGCCACCTATTATTACCATTCTTTCCTAAAAGAAAGGATATTTCCTACCCAGAAAATTAGGAAAGACATAACCTAAGATAAACAAAATACAGTTAGATTTAAAAAGATACATTATGGGCCCCTTGTTAGATTCTGCAGCAGAAGACTGTAGTGAGGGTGAGGGGTGCATGGCCATAGTCCTGGAGCGGCTTGGCAGGAAGAGTGACCCAGACTCCCAGGAAGCTCTGCAGAGGAGGGAAACCATGATGGGCCACGCCTTGTGCACCATCTCCTACATTGCTAACATGGGAAACATCGTGCTGCTGTTGGCCAGGTGCCGCATGCTTTGATCAATGTCTCAGGATTGCATCGAGACCACACCCGGGGCCCAGGAGGATACGAAGCAGTACAAGATGATCTGCCACATGTTTGAGTCAGACGATGCCCAACTCATTGCTCAGTCCATCGGCCAGGCCTTCAGTGTGGCCTACAAGGAGTTCCTGCGGGCCAACAGCTTCAACCCAGAAAATCTGAGCCAGAAGGAATACAGTGACATTATCAATACCCAGAAGAAGTACAACGATGACCTCATTCACCTCTCAAACTCGGAGAACTGCAAAGAGCTACTGCTGGGAAACACAAGAGCGAGATCCTGGGCGTGGCTGTCGTAGAATCGGGCTGGGGTTCCATCCTGCCCATGGTGGCCCAGCCACCTGCTCAGGGAAGCTGAGCATAGGGGACCAGATCATGTCCATCATCGGTACCAGTCCGGTGGAGCTGCCCCTCGCCACCTGCCAGAGCATCATCAAGGGCCTGAAGAACCAGACTCAGGTGAAGCTCAACATAGTCACATGCCCTCCAATCACCACCATGCTCATGAAGCGTCCAGACCTCCAGTACCAGCTGGGCTTCCGTGTGCAGAACGGATTCATATGCAGTCCCATGAGAGGAGGCATTGCTGAGCAAGGTGGCATACATCAATATCTGCATCATCAATATCCATGGGCAGAGTGTAGTGGCCACAGACCATGAGAAGATAGTTCAAGCTTTGTCCAACTCCATAGGAGAGATCCACATGAAGACAATGCCGGCAGCCATGTTCCGGCTCCTCACAGGTCAGGAGACCCACCCTCCTTCTACATCTAGGCCGCAGCCACGCTGAAGGAGCACCACAGCCGGGCAGCAGGAGGCTGGAAGGACTCAGGCTGCCCTGGAGGTGTGACCCCACATACATCTTTTGTTTTCTCGCCAAAAAGGGCATGTCTCTATCAAAGGAGAAATCACTGAAACAAAACGTTTGCAGTAAATTCAAGAATCTTACCACATCTGGACTGTTTACTCATAGAAAACGACGAGGGTGTTGTGTCCACTCTATAGTGTCCAGTGTGTATATCTTTCTTCATTGAAGCCATAGTGGATTTGAGTGTCCCACAGATGGAGGTGAGGACAAGGGGCTGCAGGGGAGGCTGGGACTGACCCTCCAGTCCCATACAGGTCCCAAATAGACAGAGCCTGATACTTCCCTTGAGCATAGACAGCACAGCCCTCAGGGTGACTTGTAATTACAGTTTGGGAACATGTGTGTCGGGGGAAGATGCATTATGAGAAATCTACTACATGAGTTGCAAGATTCCTTTGGGAAAAATTGCCGCTGGTTTACTAAGACATAGACAAGGATTATGTCCTAAAGGAAATAAAGTGTATATATTCCTAAAGTCAGGTCTAATACAGGAAATTAGGACCTGTGGACATAAAGATCAAACACAGAGTAGAAAGTGGTAAGGACCATGAAGTGTAGTTCAGCAGAGAGCTCACTTCAGTAAAGAGAATTCAAGATGGTGTCCCAGAATCAGTTACATTTGAACTGGCCTAGAAGGATGGTGAGAAGGATTTGGACCTGGAGGAGTTCCCAAATCAAAAAAAATCATGGAAGCAGAGAACTGTTGAGTGGAAGGGAAAGTGATCCCTATTAAGAGGGAGACAAGAACAACTTTCTCTGAGTTCTAGAATCTAGAAAAGGTTCTAGAGTCTTTTCAGAGCCTCATTTCTCCCCTCAGTTGAATGGTAAACAGGGACAAAGAGAAAACTTAGGAATGAGACGTAAGTATATTCCTTCCTACCTCAGGACGTAACAACCTTTGATATGAACAAGAGATCTTAGTTCCCTAAGTCTTAAGAAAGTTAAAGTGTCAACTGGGATGATTTGGAAATATTATCTATAAACTAGAGGACTTTTTAAAAAGATCTGTCTGTGAGGAATGGTGTGGTTCTGCAATGGTATATGGGCTCTGACTTTTATAATGTTAGTTAGGTGACTGCAAGCAAGTCACTTAATGTCTTTGGTCTCCACTGCCCTCATCCGTAATAATGGTTAATAATGGCTGCTTTACACGTTTTCTGCGAAGATTCACAATAGTGAACAGAAAATGTCTAGTATACAGTAAAACGAGTTGCCAGAGATTCTGACTTATGGTGAGCCCGTGTGTGTCCAAGTAGATCTGCACACCACAGGGTTTTCAGTGGCTTAATCCTTCTGTAATCTATTGCTAAACCTTTCTTCCCAGACGTCCCTGGGTAGATTTGAACTTCCAACCTTTGGTTAGTAGCCACCAGTTGTGGCACCCAAGGACTCCAGTGCAGTTAGGGGTTCAATAAATGGTAGTCATTATTATCTCTGGCATGAATTTTATAACATTTGTAATTACAATTGGGATGAGGCTCAAGGATCATTGGGAAAGAACAAAGAAAAAAAAATTGTTACTGAAGAAGGAGGTAAAGATCTCTTTTCAAGGTTAGGAATTAGTGGCGCCTCCAAGCTTTCTCCATTTTTTAAAAAAAATCTTCCTGCATTGTGTGTTTTCAATGCTTGCAGTGGAACCGGAAGTCAAGTATGTCGGAAACATGCATGGTAACGAAGTGCTAGGCCGTGAGTTGCTTCTGCAGCTGTCGGAGTTTCTGTGTGAGGAGTTTCGGAACGGGAACCAGCGCATCGTCCGGCTCATCGAGAGCACGCGCATTCACATCCTGCCATCCATGAACCCAGATGGCTACGAGGTGGCTGCCACCCAGGTACTGAGCCCGAGGGCGGTGCAGGGGAAAAAAGAATGAGGACATCTTAAGGAATCTTGTAAAATGTTGCAGTGTATCAGCTGTAAATGTCATTCAAATATACAAGATAAAACAGCCAAGTATGATTTAATGGAGTCCTGCTGTGGCACTGTAGAACAAGCTATGGCCCTCAAGGCCCATTTGAACTGCAAGAATGCGGTTCAAATCCACGAACCGTTCCTTGAAAACTCTAGACAGGGTCGCTGTGAGTCGGAATCGACTCAAAGGCACTTAATAAGAGCAACATTATTTAACAGAGGTAAAGATCCTAGGAGAAACCTCTTGAGTAAGGTGTTCAGGACAATAGAAATCCTTCTGTGTGTGTTCAAGATAAAAAGTCCATTAATGGTGAGAATGAAGAGCGAGACTGACCAAGCATGAGGTTTCTTCCTAACGTGAGGAAGGTGTTCTTTATTGAGATACAATTTACATACCATAAAATTCACCCATTTAAAGAGTACAGTTACATTAATTTCATTATTTTTACTGAGCACTGCAGGTCTGCTGGAGAAATACAGCAAAGTATGACGACTTGCACTTAACCCCGTAGAGCCTTAGACAATGACTGTGGGCTCCTCTGCTTCTCAGTTCTCTCAACACATTTCCAGCTGCCAAGGAGGTGGTATCTATCAACACCTTGTAGACTGGAAAATCCTAAACAGATGTGAAGGCATGTAACAAAACACTTTGCTTCACTGAACTTTCAGTTTTGAACCCTACACACCCTCATTCTATGTCCATTTCCAGTTGTGGGCATACTTCATTATGTTTTTTTTCCTTCTGCTGGTATAGTGTTCAGCCTCATTCTATGTCCATTTCCAGTTGTGGGCATACTTCATTATGTTTTTTTTCCTTCTGCTGGTATAGTGTTCAGCCTTTTCATGCTTATTTTGTTGTTGTTGAGAACATACACAGCAAAACACACACCAGTTCAACGGTTCATACATGTACAGTTCAGTGATACGGATGACGACCATCCTCAACCTGCTTCTCTGAAGTTGCGCTGTCTCCATTTTCATAAACTCACCATCCTCTGAGATGCCTATATAATCTTTTTAATCCTTCAACATTTTCATTCTTTATTTTTGAGTTACATTTACAGTGGGACAGATAAGGGGAAAAAGTTCATGAACTTTTATTGTCTAAGATAACATTTAAACTGTCAGTGCCTTAACCTTATGGTTCACTTTATGGCTGTGCACTGGAATCAGAAGGTTTTTAAAGTTATACAACCTTCAGAGAGAACACTATACTATGCCCAGTGAAAGAAGCCAGACATAAACAAAAGATGAAATATTGTAGGATTTCACTTATGTGCAATGTCCAGAATAGGCTATGTAGAGAAAAGTCCAGTAGTGTTTGCCAGGGGATGAGGTGAGAATGACAAGTGACTGACCAAGCATAAAGCACATGATCTATCCAGAGAAACTTGAACCATACTGCTGGGATTTTGGATAATTTAAAGAAGAAAATTGTTACATCATTTGATTAAGTTACTATCTATCTAAGGACACATTAAAATATATGTCAAATGTGGGATTCAGTCTAAAACATTCATTTTCATCTTTGATTTTCCTCCGAGGGCCCAGAGAATTCTGGGTATCTAGTTGGCAGGAACAACGCAAATGGAGTGGACCTCAACCGCAACTTTCCTGATCTCAACACCTACTTTTACTATAATGAGAAGAATGGAGGCCCCAACCACCACCTGCCTCTTCCAGACAACTGGAAAAGTCAGGTAGGAGATGAGATTTGCATAGAGAAGAACAGTGTATCTGCATCTAGAATTTCTTCTCACAATCTTCATACCAACTAAATAACCAACTATTCAACACCAACTCAACTCTATGCTAATCTACTCAGTGCAACAATAACTGTGCATTTACCTACCTCTTTGTGTTTATTTCCTCCTCAAGCACAGATTCCTCTATGGAGTGCATGCTCACTAAATGTTTGATGCTAGGGAAGCAGGTGGAAATGGTATTCTATAGTTGTGTGGTACTTTACAATATACAGACTTTGTTTATAGCCAGTTTTCGTTGGCCATTGTAATACTGTGTGGTGAAGGCAACAAGCAATGTTACACATCCCTGTTTTATAAATGTAATGATTGTATCAAAACCCAATCCCACTGCCATCAGCTGACTGACTCATAGCACCTCTATACTGGGTTTCCAAGATTGTAAATCTCTATGGGAGCAGACAGCTCAGAGTGGCTGGTAGGTTTGAACTGCCAGTCTTATGGATAGCAATGTAGTGCTTTTCCTACAGCATTACCACAGCTCCTTATGCTTATAAGTAAAATAATTTGAATTCATACAGATAATAATTGAGAATCAAGGTTAAAACTTGATTCCTAATTCAGCACTCTTTTTACTACATTATTCTGTTGACAAGGATTGCTGGTGGCAACCTGGTTCAAACACTCAACTGTTATCAAACAGGGAGAACAATGTGACAGTCTGCTTCTGTAAACATTATAGGCTCAGAAACCCTATGGGGACCGCTCGACTCTGTCCTATAGGGTTGCTGTGTATCAGAATTGACTCCATAGTGAAGAGTTTGGTGTTTGGTTTTGATAGTCTGCTCACAGAAACCTAGCGTCCTACAGATGTGATAGGAGTCCTAGTGTGGCACTGTGGGCTAATGCGCTGGACTACAAAGTCATCTGAACCACAATGTCAGCGGTTCAAGCTCACCAGCCACTTCTTGGAAACCCTATACAGGGATCGCTATGGGTTTGAACTGACTCAATGGCACTTAACAACAACAACAACAACATAAATGTGATAAACTGTATACTCAACAACAATTAGCTATAGAAAGACTATCAGAGATTCTAACCCTGGTAGCTTTTTCTCTTTCCTTTTTATATGACCTTTAACTCCTTCACTGTTTTCTGAGACAATGCCTTATAAACTGGAAGATACTAAACAGAAATGAAGGAATGCTGTAAAACCCTCCTGTTCACTGAACTTTTAGCTTTGAGGGCTACCTACCCTTCCTCCCTGCTCACTTCAAGACCAGTTCCATTTGGGGAGGAACAATCAGGGAGCTCAAGTTTTCCCCAGAATTGGGGTGGGAGAAGGTGTGAGGTTATAAGACTAGATTTTTAGAATACTTTGTAGTAATTTTATAGGGCTTTTCCCTCTACTCGTATACTACACAAGAAGCCTTGGTAGCATAGTGGGTTATGAGTTGGGCTGCTCACTGTAAAGTCAGCAGTTCACATCCACCAGCCATGGAAGAAAGATGCGTATTTCTGCCCCAGTAAAGATTTATAGCCTTGAAAATCCTATATATACCGAGTCGCTACACGTCAGAAGCCACTAGACGGCACACAACTACCACCACCACTACTATATCACTCAGCCTTTTCATTCTGTACTTTTGAGTTACATTTATAGTTGGATAGGTAAGGGGACAAGTTCATAAAGGTATGATCCCTCACATTCTTAAGTCAGAAGGGTTGAAGACTGAGAACACGTGAGCCCACGGATGCTCCAGGCCTTGCTCTCCAGCAGACTTGCAGCGATACTCCGGGGTAATGTGAGTGGCTTCATCCATCTGGTGGTCTTGCTCCTGGGAATGACTGCTGTCATCCTCCAGCATCACACAGCTTGTTCTTAATATGGTATGAGGTCGTTCTAAACATTCAAGTTGTGAGTATCTAGACTCAGAGACTAGGGAAAAAGCAAAACAGGTATAAGTCTTCGTATGGAATAGCCTCTGCTTTTCCCCCTGGAAAATGAAACAAAACTCATGCTAATATGGTGAGGTTTCAGTTAACAACTATACTCTAGGCTCAAAGTAAATAGCAACTAAAAATCATTTAGTACTGTTTGGCATAATCTAGTAAACATGATGTTTTTCTGGTTTATTAACCGCATCTCTGTAAGTGAAACAGGTCATGGGACCACTAAGAATTAGAGTGCTGCTCATTCCTCTGTCTGAATCTTAAAAGGAACCAGAGTATTGAGCAATCAGTCTCTCTCACCCCTGATGGAACAACCTTGAGGGAGATGAGCCAGTAAGCAGTTATTGTGCTGATCAACAGGTGCTTAGAGGGTTCAGACAGGAGTGTTTCAAAGGGTTTGAGTCCTGGCCACAGACCAAGACTTGTTCCCTTGCTTTTATATCCGTTCTGATGAATGAAACTCAAACCAACACATCTAGTCCTCTTTGGGATAGCAATAATGAGGACCTTCACAACTGACATGAACATCATGTCACCTGCACCCCGAGAGGAGGGAAAATACTGACGACTGGGAACTATTTTCTTATACTGAAAATAGTCCAAGTGGATTTAACATTTTCTTTAGGATACTTTCAGTCACTAGCAATACAATATGCAATAAAAAGAGTGGAGTTTCACAATTTAGCCAAGACTGGCCCAAGTCTAAGCCATAAAATTGGATATGACCACAGGAGTGTAATTCCACACGCTATAGCAGATGTGCTGAGGAAGGAGATTGGAAACACTATGAATCAGCATTTTCTGTATTTACTTATTGTTGTTGTTGTTGTTAAGTGCCATCGAGTCGGTTCCGACCCATAGCGACCCTGTACAGGGTTTCCGAGGGTGTAAATCTTTA